ATAAAATGTCAAGAGTGAGTAGTATTAAATTTTTTTGAAATAATGCAACACGATTTGTGAAAGGTGATCTCTCTTAATCCAAACACACCGGATAGCATGTGATAAATATTAGGGAACTCAAGCTTTTTAACCATTAGTCCTCCCATTAAAAAGCCAAAAATAGCAAGTGATAAATTTAGGAAATAGAAAGTAATAAATATGAGTAACACGCTATATATGAGGAATAGAGTACTATATAACAAAGTAGAGTAGTTTTACGACTCTGGGTGTGTGGTCAGGTCCATCAGGTGAGTTGGCATGTTGGGTCAACCCAGCGAGTTCCTATTTGATCCACTGAGGTTTTGAACCACGCTATAATTTAATGGTGAATGGTGTGGTACTTTGTGTAACCACCCTAAACAATGGACAGAGATGGTGAAAATGGGAGCTGCCAGAATGGGAGATATGACCCATGGTGCGTCCCGATCTTTCTCTATCACTGGTCCATCGTTTCTGTGGATAGTGATGATCCCAATTGTATATGGTGTCTCACAGTCTGGTGCATTGTGCTATATTTTTTTATTTTATCTGGTAAATAGTACTTTATGGTCACATAATCTACTACTTTGTCGTTTCTAGTTGTACCTGGTAATTTATATTCTGTTGACAGCTTGCAATACAAATTCTTTTTTTTCTTTCCCCCTCACTTATGGCTTTTGTACCTGCAGCTTCCTAAGATCCTGGGTGTGAATTCTGTTGATAGAGTGTTGTTGGATGCACCATGCAGTGGGACTGGGGTAAGTAATTTTGATTGGAAAGAATAAGATAGTCCAAATGGACCATGGAAGACCATAGTTCCATTGAGCTCATCACCTTTTGATTGAGTGATGGCTGATGGTGAAGAGAGGCCCACTAGAAAAGAATATGAACACAATGGGGGGTTCCTACTCTTATATCCATCACTGCCATTTCATTGCTTGGTTATGGCCCCCCCTATAGAAAACAACTTTACTTAGTCCATCAGATAATTAGTATACTCTGGCCATTTTGGTTTAATAACCTTCCCTTACCCTTCATGATTGGACTTAACCAAATGTTTTTTCTTATCTGTACTTGTTTGGTTATTCAAGTTGTGGATACTTCTCATTCATGAAACCTTAACTGATCTTGCTACTTATCTTTCAGGTTATATCCAAAGATGAATCTGTCAAGGCAACCAAAACTGACGAAGATATACAGAAGTCGGCTTTCCTTCAGAAGGCATGTATAAACTTCATTTTCTTGTGAGACATATTCTGAAAATTTTAATGCTTTCCTGGTTCTCTCCTTGAAAAGAAAAACATAGGGCCTTTAGGATAGGTAAACTTCATTATCATGCTGCATAGTTTTTATCATGGAAAATTGTTTCATGCGGACTGGACTGCATTTCTATAATATGCGGTCTAGAGGTATAAAGTATCCATCTTAAACATGGATGCAAATAGGTGGTCCATATAAAAATAAGTGTAACTAACGGTCCAAATGTTTTCTTAATACAATTATTATTTTTAGTTTTCAAAATTTTTTTGTTTCATTTTCATGTTCTCCATGTTAAATATTATATATTTTCTAAAAATTAGGATCAAATTATATTTAAAAAATATATTTATTGCCAAGTATGCAATTCTACAATATGTGGGCTGGTCGCATAGAATCCACGTCCTTTTATCATTTCATCTTGTCAGCGGTCAGCTATAATATAGAATTCATAGTTTGGGAAATCGAGATCTTTTGAGTGAACCTGTTAAATGTATTCAAGTTCAGAATTGACTTACTGAAACATAACTTTATCATCTTCTTTTGTTTCACACAGTGGTTTAAAAAGCGGATAGGTGACCCGGATCGGGCATCTCAAAAACCCATCCAGATCGGCAAATCGGCGATCTGGATCGGGAATAGGCTGAATCGGTCTGATTAAACCTTAAAAAAAATTCGAAAAAATTATTAAAATTCATTATAAATGTTGTTTTTTAGGATTTCAATAAGAAATGATGTTACTCCATTAAGAATATTCATTTCTTTGCATGAATATGCGAATATTGATATGTTCTTTTCCTACATGAACTATTATTTATCATTTAATTTACATCACATAAAAGGATAAACATAGAA